AGTACCTGCATGTCATAAGCATTTGAATTAAAATTACCATATTGAAATCAAATCTGATGTTTTTTAATTTTTATTTGGTGTGCGTTGGAACAGGGGTAGTCTTATACGGTGAGTATAGCCCAAACTCTATATTTTAACTGGAAAAGTTGGGGGTCGTCTTATACGCCCAGTCGTCTTATACGCCGGAATATACGGTAGTGATTTTGTAAAGTAAGCCAGTACAGTATTCACAAAATAATGAGGTACCTGAAGCAAAAGCAAAATTCTCATATGAATTGTCATATGATGCAAAGGTGTAAGTCCAGTCATTCCCTCTCTAGGATAGGAAATAGCTTTGTTCTTTTAAAACCAGAGACAGAATTTAAGAGAAATAGATGTTTCTTTGTTATGAAAAATAATTTCATTAACAGTTTATCTGTAGTGCCTCATTCTTTGAACTAATAAATCCTCATCCTTTCTTCTTAGCTGAATAACTGCTACAAGTATTTGAAAAGTTGCTTTCAGTCAGGAAGACTAACATGCCATAATGATGCATGTCACAGTTATGTATAATATACATCAGTAGTTCTTAACCTGTTGTCCACAAACCCCCAGGGACCGCAATGTTGTCCCAGGGTGTTTGCAAAGGCTTGAAGAAATGCTATGATTTAAATCTTGAATCTTGATAGTCCGTGGCCATTATCCAGGCCACAAAAGATATTTAAACGGGAGACAATGGTAAAGAAAAGGTTGAGAACCACTGATATACATTATCTGTGTTCAGTTTTGCTTCTGAGGGAATACCAATGGAAAAGACATATTTCTTTTTGTTCCCTTTTCAAAGTCTCAGGTCAAGTACAAACCCTTCAGAGCATGTTTATCAGCTTTAAAATGTATGGCTTTCAACTCCTAGAATTTCCCAGCCAGCATGTTATTATTTGTTAGAAACCCCACTTTAAACTTCCTTGCCAAATACAAAAATCAAATATCAGCATAAAAGGGTTTTTGGAGATAACTACAAATTAAACAGTGGACTGATCTGCTTCATATGAAAAAGAATAAGCTATGCATTTAGATACTTAAGTAACCCACTCTGGGACTCAAAAACTTCATATAATGTGCAGATAAATGAAGATCTGGATTGTATAATGAGGAAGTTGACAACTTCCTTACCGTAGTTACTATGGCATAGTATCTCTCTAATAAATCTGTAAATTATGTTCTAAAATCAGCTTTATAACTGTAACAAGTGCAAAAGAAGCAGGGGGATCTATTGGGCTACTATATAAATGGAAATATAATGAACATATGTTACCTTGCAGCTGTAATCAAGACCAACCCATAAGCCCCTGCAATTGATTGGAGCGGCTTCTAAAATGGGGCGGCTTCAGGGGAAGGTAATACTACTCTCTGCTGCAGCCCAAGGAATTGGCCAAGCTGTGGCTAAAGTAAGTGCATAATTATTTATTGAATATCATCATGCACATGATTTTATAAGTTTCAGGTACAAAAGTACCTTCCCTTTAAGTGTGGGAGCTAAAGGCTATGTGCTGGAGGAAGTGGTGAAAATAAAAACCTGAAGAGAAAGGATTTAATATTATCAGAATAATATCATGCTGCAGATGTTTCATCACAATCAGATGCCAACATTTCATGACCTTGGCTGATCTTGAAAAAGCTAAATAGGATCAGACATGGTTATTTCTTGGATGGGAGACTCCCAGGAAAACCTTGGGCAAAATTTCCTTGGCCAAGGAAATCCTTGGCCAAGGGAATCCAAATTAAAAAAATGAGTCTCAGAAGAAAGCAGTGGCAAATCACTTTAATATTATTGCAAATATAAAACTGTGCACCTGTCCATATATAGGACCAGAAGTAATCTTCATCTAGAGTTGTTACAAATGATGTAACATTTGTAAGTTCACTCATTTTGAAAGTAAATGTATTCTGTATGTGTTTGTGTTCTTTTATTTAAGAGGTGGGTATTTCATGCTACTACAGGCATAAAAAAATCGTAACTATAAAAAGTAGATTTTAAGAGCCAGCTTTAGAGTATACACAGAGTCATTTACTGAGATGGAAATTGAACAAATAATAATTGCAAAAAGCAGCTTTACTCAGAACAGCTTACATCCTGCGACGATGCCTCTAACACCACAAAGCACCAACATCTGCCTATCTCAGATCCTTGGGAAGGATTCTAAAGGTGGATAAAAATTCAAAATCTGAACATTTGACTGACTGTGTAATAAACCATAATAATATAAAAGCATGCAAGATAAAAAGTCAGTCCTAATTTTAAAAACCGGGCATCTTACACAGAGGAAAATATTATTATCTTGGTTTGTTCCATTTATACATATTCCATTTCCCTGTCTAGAAAGAAACTTGCATGAATCTTTAAAATAAATAGTATTATGTAAGTAACAATATTTGAAATATATTTAGCTGGGATTTGCAATAAAAATCCAGGAGCTAGCTAGCCATCTACAGCTTCTTCCAGAAAATCCATTCCATTCCTACTCCCAAGTTTCACTTTTTTTTAAATCCCCCCCACTAAATAGTGATTAGGAGGACAAATTTTAAGGGGTTTTTTTCTTGTGCATTTTTCTAATTTTTGCAAACCGTCAGCATCCTGCAAATATTCTATTTCTGTGACTGCCCATCTCAACAAGTAATTCTGGATGGCAAGAAATCTTAAATTAAAAACAATTCCCATCATAAATACAAAGATTAAAATACACAGTAACCAAGGAAGATGTCACACTCAACAGTTGTTAGCACAACCAGGAGAGAGCACCCTTCTCACATCTGGGGCCTCACACCTGATTTTAGTATATCATGCATTTTTTTGCAACCAATATATTTTGGTTTGCCTTCTGAATATAAAAATTAAAGTATAATAAATCTTTTCATTTGATATGAAAACTCATTTTTCTTAAGTAGATTGTTAGTTTACAGGATGATTTGCAGACGACATGATTTTTTTCAGCAAATCATTTTTTCAGAATTTCAGAACTTTTCACTGTCTGTGAAGATGCTCTGGTATTTCAGAACATATATCAGAAACAGTAGTTTCAGAGTTGCCAGAATATCTCTGGAAGAATTTAGCTCCTAACCAATTTTGTAGGTATAATTCTTGGTAATTGCTGTAATCTTTAATGGTGGTACTATTGTTATATTATTGTTACTGTTGTTGGTTGCTAGCCATTTTTCCAGTGGAACCCAGAGTAATGCACAGAAGAACATGATAATAACAATTTAAAATAAACATAACTGCTATTAAAAACAAAAGAAAAATAATGTGCTGTTTTTATCTGTATGGCTATAGTTTGTGAAAATGAACATATATGTACATTTTTGTTTTTAAAGGCTTTTGCAAAAGAAGGAGCTCAAGTTATTGCTACAGATATCAATGAGTCCAAACTTCGAGAACTGGAAAGTTATCCAGGTATTCTTTGAATTACTTAGAACCAGAGCTTAGCAAAGTATATTATGTGATCCCTCATTCTTGTGGTGGTCCCATCTCCAGGCCACCACCTACAGAAGGCAAGTAGAAAAACAAGTCTGTTACATTTTATCCCTATGACTTATCTGTAGTAAGTACCAGTTGCCATTTCTCATATTGTATGAGGTAGTGAATTCAGGGTAAAACCTCAGGATTCAAGGTAACTCTGGGCAATGGGCAAAGCAATCAGCAGAGAAAGCAAGGGAACTACTATGGCCTTCACATTTACTATCTCCTCTCTCTTAAAGCTCTAATAAGCAGCAAGATTGTGGCCTACACAGAAGGCTGCCATGCAGATAAGAACCTCTGGCAGCTTCTGCTCATGGGAGGGCTATCTTGAGAGGATAAATGAGCAAATCATAAAGCAGTTGTCAAAAGGTGTGAGGGTATTCTGCTCTCTCCTGGCACATTCCAGATGTGTGGATGTGGTATCCTACTTGTCTCAGCAGAGGTTATGCTGGCTGGGAATTCTGGGAGTTGAAGCCCAAATATTTGGATAGTAGATGGAGAAGATTGGATACCTAGATTGGAGAAGGCTGTCATAAATGACTCTCCCAAAGTCCTAGGTCTCAGCAATTGTCAGATGTCATTTGTTTAGAATTATGAGGCCAAGTTCAGGTTTTCTTCATTCCATTAGATCATTTCAGTGTAAGTTTCCAATCTTGTGCTTATTTAGCAATGTTGCCAAGGCTTGCTTTCAGCTATATAGGTCAGCTGTATCTCTACTATGAATCTTTCTTCATTTGCCTCTGATTTCTCTAGAAATTACTTTCCTAGATCAAGAAAGTTTCAGAGTAGTTAAACTGAATGGACTCAGAGCTGACTTCAACTGAATTTAAGTTTAATATCCTATTCTCTCATCAGTGTTATTATCAAAAAACTTTATTCAGGCAGCTGTGGTCCAATTTTTTCTGTATTTGATTTTCAGTTGCACATTTTCCAAGTCAATCAGAAAATTATTCAGTGATTCAGTGGAAGATATAAATGTGGTATCTGTGATTCCGGGTTATAACTGCTGGAACATAAAACGTTACTCAGCAAACAGAAATAATTTGTAACTGAAACATTAATAATGTAAACTTGTTATTGCGAACAGAGCAACGTTAACATTTATGATGTTTTGTGTATGCTTTCAAAGAAGCTGACACAGGTAGTTGACGTTTGATCATGGTTGGGTGCAGAATTTCCATTGAGTGATGCCATGGTGGTTGAGTCATGTGGTCATTAAGTGAATCCAATTTGTCTAACTGGTTTTGCTTGTTGGAGGTCAGCTGGGAAGGTGGCAAATGCTAATACATAACCCTGGGTGGCGGCAACTATCATAAATATATGCCAGTTGCCAAGTGCCTAAATTTTGATCACATGACTGTGGAGATGTTGCAGTGTGCAAAGACCAATCATAAGTAACTTTTTCTCAGTGCCATTGTAACTTCGAGTGGCTGCTAAATGAATGGTTGTAAGCTGAGGTCTATCTGTATCACATGTAGACGATCTCATAAAGAGATAGATCCATGTAAAAGAAAATTTTCCACAAATGAATGTTGAGGACTATGTCAGACTAAAGCTTATAAGGTGCTATTCATAATTCCAAGAAGGAGAACCAGCATCAGTAGCATTTGGCTTCTCTGTGCAGAGCTACTCCATGTGATTAGGAAGTATGGACAGTTCTGTTCTACCTCCATTCATTCATTCATTCATTCATTCATTCATTCATTCCAATATCGTGCAGGGTGCTGATGTCAAAAGACATCTTTTTTTTTCTTGCTTCAGGAGCTTGCCTGAACATGTGACTACCAAGTAGGAATAGGTCTGCAAAGGCTGATCCCAGTTCTTATCTCTCCAGAACATACCTGCCCCCATGAATTCTCTTTCATTAGATAAAGCAAACACCTTGGTTGTAGATGGTAGAGGGCGGGAATGACATCTCCCGGCTGTTGTCCTCTTTTGGGAGAGAGAAAGAGAAACAGGTCACTTCGCATGTTCCGCATTTTTGAACCATCCTTAGGAATCTTGCTGGTTCTGCAAGAGGAAAATCAAGTGGGTACTCTCAGGCAGCAGGTTATTTTAATTGGTTCTCTCTGTCTCCTTCTTCTCGGACTTTGCCTTGCTAAGATGACATGGGCCAAAATGTTTTCTCCTTTGAATGGACGTTGAACTCGTGAAAGGCTTTTGTTTTTGGAAGTACTGTATGGTCTCTTTTCTTGTATGGCTCCCCATTTTCACCTTTGTAATATGGCTGCTTTTTTAATTTTGAGAACACCACACATACTCATCACAGCATAGATTGTGTGGATCTCTTTTAACAGGCATTCAGATCCAGGTGCTCGATGTCACCAAGAAAGAGCAAATTGAAAAGCTGGCCAAGGAGCTGAAGAGAATCGATGTTTTGTGCAATATTGCAGGGTAAAATGTTGCCAGATTTTTAACTCTTTTTCTAATCTTTCTCCTTTCTGAAATCAGACTTTTGTTTCCACTTAGGTTATTAATAATCTGAATCAAAGATGATTTGGCAATGCAGGGTAAATGAGCAACAGCAAGTTGATTCCATCTACTATAATCTTGATTCTGCTTATCAGATGGGCACTAACCTTTTAACATTATATTAATATTATAATAAAAATATGGATATAATATTCTACACTTGCTTCTGGTAGTGCAAAAGCATTGGGTTATCCAAGCCATCTACTGTGAGTCATATCTTCATATACTGTACTTGACTGCTCTGAGAATCCCTCATGGAGGTGACTTGCCTTTCATATTATAACACTGAACACATTGTGCTGATTGACTGTCTGCAATTCCACTCCAGATGTTGCTTCAGTTTGGGTTATTGAATTCATCTGATTTGAAGCAGCACTTTGATTTGGAAAGGTTGATCTGCTTTGAACTGCCACATTGAAGTGGATCAGTTTGCTTCATGGGTCTTTTGCTCCTGTGTATCTTAGACTCTTTGATCAAGATGGCATGGAAGTCTAATGAAGCATTCCTGGATATTGATTCACTTTCAGTGGGTGCATCATTAAAAGACATTGAATTGAAATGTCACCTCAAAGTTCACAGCAACCTTCCTAAAAATAAGCACAAGTGTCAGTTTGATTAATAGCAAAGGAAAAGAAAATATCAAACCCTTCCTTACTGCCATAGTCCAAAGCATCCTGTGTGCAATTAGGTATCCTCCTGTAATTAATTATATGTATATTAGAGACCATGATATCTCTGCAGTTCCAATTTTGTGCCAGTGTGTTTGCCAATACATACAAATTTATTTCTCAAAAGATTTAAATGTGATTGTCTACTTTGTGGATCACACATATTGTGCAAACTCATCATCTTTGTAGTATCGAAACAATAGTCATGATTTCAGCATACTAGGCCTTGTCCTGAATCTTTAATTTATAGTTTTATCCTGTCACTTGACAGTTTATGTGCTTCGGAAAGTAAAACAAAACAATTGTGTCTTCTGCTATAGTTTTGTTCATCATGGGACTATTTTGGACTGTGAGGAAGAAGACTGGGCCTACACAATGGAAGTCAATGTTCGTAGCATGTATCTCATGATCAAAACATTCTTGCCTAAGGTAAGATTGAGACTTCTCACATCTGTAGAGCAACTGAGTAAGATGAAAAGAAATTTGGAAGTTGACAAGTTCTCAAGCCACCTAATATGTGTTATCTGTTATAGAGGTAGAAAACCTTGGTACTTTGGAAGGATATCTGGAATCGTTATAATAATCCTGTAAGGCAGAAGCAGCTGATACCTTTCATATTTTCAGTCTACAAATCTTATAATGTGTTACACTTGGCCATGGTGGCTGGAGCCAGTAGAAGCTGAAATCGAAAAGTGTGTGATTGTTGGCACAAAGGCTTATGGGATTAGGCCAAAAGCATATAGGATAGTCATTCTGAACTTGGAATCTCATATATTTTCAACTACAGACCTCATAATTCTCAACCAAAATGCTGGCTGAGAATTATGTAATTTGTAGTTGAATATTGCAGGGTATACCAAACTGAAAAGCGTGCATTTCTGTCAAATATTTGTTGTGCCTTCTGTGATTCTTGCACATGAAAACAACTCATTCTTCAGATTACATAGTACTTTTAAATCTCTACTTGTAAATCAGTTTTTTAAATAAGACACTTAAAACATTACAGGATATAACATTTCAATTTTTGAACAGATGCTTGAGCAGAAATCCGGTAACATTATCAACATGTCTTCTGTGGCATCCAGTATCAAAGGTTAGTGGCTGATAACAACTGGTTCCAGCTGGCATGAAAGGGAGTCAATATATATGCTGAAAAAGATGGACAACAAAGACTTAGCTAACATGTACTGTATGTTTCCCTCCCAAAAAGGAGGAAAAGGGAGAAAACAAACAGGAATGTGTCCATACAATCAAAATTCAGGAATGTGTATAAAGCAGAGAATTGGCCCATCTACAAAATACTCCTTGTAAAAAATAACCAAACAGAAGTCTGGAGCAAATCAAGACTATTCAAAAGAGCCATTATGGAGATGGGGGCCAATACTGAATGAAAGTGATCTTTTTTCATATGCTTTTGTTACGTACCTTGATTGCTAATCCTTTCTCCTTCAGGGATTCCCAACAGATGTGTCTATAGTACTTCAAAAGCAGCAGTTATTGGTCTCACCAAGTCTGTAGCTACTGACTTCATTGAAAAAGGAATCAGATGCAACTGTGTTTGTCCTGGTATGTAATATTCTACAATCTCTATTTTGGGGGTTTTGCCCTTCAGAATTGTGCAAAAGAATTCAAACTGTAGCTCAAAGTTGAAGAACTTTACTATCTAAGAGATTATGTGCTTACAATGTATCAGCTACATTTGATTTATAGTACTAAGTACTTTTTTTATTTAGTTAAGAGTCTAATTAGAAAAGGACCCACCTTTGTTCATGAACTGCATGGTGTCATTTTTAATTTAAGGTTTGCATGTGTTTTATAGGCACCGTTGACACTCCTTCTCTGAGGGAAAGAATCCAAGCAAGACCTAATCCAGAACAGGTATATAATGCATTTTATTATAATATGCAAGTGCACAATGAAGGAACACATATATAGCAGTTAGTTCTATAAGACCTGTTTCCGAAATATTTGCAGGAAGTTTTGCTGGAAAGTTCCTATGCAAAGACACCATCCAGTGGGACATTTGAAAAGGCAAACAAAGTGCAAATTGGAAAGATAAATAGGACAATTAAAATGTTTTCCTTAATTATATACCTAATTATAAGCCGCCATGAGCCTACATGTATTTGGTAACATACAAAACATAATAAAGAAATGAAACTTCACACAGACATCGAGTTTAGACTCTTCCCGGTATTTCCTTCCAGAGTTATCTAATAAGCCAAGTATATAGGTCATTGCTGTTGATGAGTTGACAATCAGTCTTTCAGTGGCCAAAGAAGAGGAGGTCAGGAAGACCACAGCAAAGGGGAATGTGTGTGCTGCTTTTCATGGTATAAAAAAAGGTAAAGGGAGTCCTTGCGGATTTTATTCCGCTAGTTGTTGCTGACTGTACAGGGTGGTGCTCATCTCCATTTCAAGGCCATTGACCCTACACTGTCCGAAGACATTTCCATGGTCATGCGGCCAGCATGACATCACAGGGCGCTGTTGGGTGGCCCGGTGGTTAAGAAGCTGGGCTTGTCAGCTGGAAAGCCAGCAGCCCAGGTTCAAGACACAAGTTCCACGCAATGGTGTGAGCTCCCATCTTTGCCCCATCTAGCCAACCTAGTAGCTCGAAAGCATACAAATGCAAGTTGATAAATAGGTACCACTTTGGTGGGAAGGTAACAGCGCTCTTCCTGGTATAAAGGAAAAAAATAATTAATTTGCTTGAGCTACTATTCCATATAGTTACAGAATTACAGCATGTTTGTAATAGTTCTATCTTCAACCGAGATCAGATTTCTGTACTTTGATGGCGGTAGAGATGTCTTCTTCTGTTGTAGGACCTCATGGAGTCCTACTAGAGTAACCGCACCATTAGAATGAAGTGGCTGCTTCAGTAAGCTGACTTTGAGGTATCATGAAAAGCTCAGCAAATCATTACTACAGTTTTCTTAAGGGGCTGTGCTAATGGCACATCTTCCTTCTAGTGCCAAAATAAGCTAGATAACTTTTAAAGTGTCAAAGGATGTATGATTGGCCCTTTTAGTCTTTATGGATATACAGAACAAGCACCTAGAGACCTGTTCCATTTAAATAAGTTTTTAATTTATGTGGGTTTCATTGGTTATGCTAATTATTTATTGCTGTGCCTGGTGATAACATTGTATACGGGTACTTTTTAGATCTTGCAGTATTTATCTGTGCAGTATTGATGTACAGTATTACATGCTTGAAAAGATGTTTCAGAAAGACAGCTGGAAAATGTTTAAAGTAAATATATCTTGAATTTTGAAGGATGCAACTGTTATTTTCTATGCTATTTCAGCTAGCAAATTATTTCAAAAGTTGATATTTTTTAATCTTTTAACCAAAGAACAAACATACCAAATGTTCCATGCAATATTTTACCATAATTAAACTTTGTTAATTTGCCTTCTAGATTTTGTAGGTGTCCTACTTTTTTTGAATAATATCTTGGAAACAACATAAGACTTTGACACTCATCAAATCCTTTGTAGGGAGTGTTAGAATGCTGATCTGTCACCTCTGACAATGAAAAATCAGAAACAACCTAACTCTGGGGCTGAATATTTACTTCCAATATCATTTTTCCCCTCCTAGGCACTAAAAGATTTTCTCGCCAGGCAGAAGATGGGCAGATTGGCTACCGCTGAGGAAATTGCCCACCTCTTTGTATATCTGGCTTCTGATGAAGTAAGTTACTTGGATCAGCCATATGTTGTTTGAAATAGAACCTTCCTGTTGTTTAAGAAATTGTTGCTAAAATGGGGATTTTAGAAGAAGAAAGATATAAAATGTATAAATGATATTTTTATAGGTAATTCTTGCTTAGTGACAGGTTGCTTAGTCACCATTCTTTACGACAGATCCCCAAAAGGTACCTGTGACCCAATTTTGAACTTCTGATGGCTGCTCTCAATAATCACATAACATTATAGGTGTTAGGCAACCAGCCCACCTTTATGGCTGTTTGAAGTGTCCCATGGTCACACGACCACAATTTTTTACGGTTTTCTTGATGGTTTCCATGCAAAAAAATGATCATTGGATAAAATGTATTTGCTTAGCAACCACCACATTTGCTTAACAACCACCAGGTTCACTTAAAGACTATCACAAAAAAGGTCATACAATTGGAAATGGTCATATGGTGACTCATTTAATCACTCAGTGATTTATCACTATAATTCCAGACTTAATTACAGCCATAAGATGAGATCTAAGTATGTAGATAATTGCAAATATGTTCAATAAATAAAAATATGAGAACAGTTCCATATTTAGAAGGTTAAAAAAAGTATATGTTCAAGAATTATATTAAAGAAACATCATGTGCTGTAAGGGATATTATACTTATACTGAACTTCAGCCCTTATTTCCTTGAAGCATAAATCAAGCTATGCGTGGTAAATGTGCCACTGGAAAGATGTCATGCACATATTTATTGCCACAATAAATACCGTGCAAAATGGTTTATTAAAGAAAGGGGGTGTATTCTTTAGTCAAATAGTAGTTTTAATTCTGGTACCAACTGCACTGTGTATTTCAATTGGTAAAAAGTATTTTAACATTTGACAGTCTAAATCTATCTGAAATGCAAAATGGTTCATCTGTAAAATTTTACATTATATGGCTACATTCCATAACCAACCAAGGTGGCATTACAATATTTGGAGCTTTATGTATAGGATTTCAACACCCATTAAAAACAACTTTATGACAAAAACTACATGTTGTTTAATTATATAAGGGGATAAGTCAGATTCAACTGGCAAATGGAGTTCCTTAAACATGAAACTATTTTCTTAGTGAAACCAAGTAGTATTTCCTTCAAATATTTTTTTCAATGCTTTCCAACCCAGTCCATCACAATGAAACAGAGAAAGTTCTCCGAATTCCACTTGTTGCCATTGGCTACTAGGCTCAATAGTAACACAGAATGAATAAATGATAACTAGCTATGTTCTCTAGGTCTCTGATTGAAGCTTCCTAATGCTTTTCTGCCTGCCTGAAGTTTCAATGTACATCCACAATACACTTTCCTACTCTCTTAAGGCAATGGCTGTGGTTTTCCTGCAGAGGGGTCTTCTCAGATCCTTGTTGGCAGTTCTATCCCTGTCTACCCCCAACTCTGCCCTATTTGCAGAGAATCATCAGCCAATCAGGACTTGCCCTTTGTGGCCTGTAGCTTGCTGCTCATTTCAAAATCTGGTTGGCAACTCCTTTATCATACGCTACATTCTAAAGAATTTGTGGCTGTCAGTGCACTAAACCAATTTTGTGCCTTAAATCCAAAATGCTAAACAGCTTTAAATATGAGGCACTGATCAATTCTACAGTTCTATCTGCTTTAAAACCCGCTTGTTCCTCTGGCAGGATACGTTTTGAGTCTCACTAGTGTAACAGCTCCAGGTGCAGATGTTTGCCAGAGATTTTACCATTTGGGTGGTCTCTGTTAATTTTCTTAAAAATAGCAATAAATATTGCTGGTCCCAGTCATTTGGAGTTCTAGTTGAGCTGTCAACTAGATGTCAAGATTGGACCTTACCAGTCAAGATTTATTTAGCCCACCCAGTGGAAATGGAGACAGCTCTAGGTGTTTTAACAGTTTTCAGCTGGTTGATCAGTTTAGATATCTTGAAGTCATAACCAATGGCCATAGTGATAATGACTCAAAGCTGTGTTGCTTTTGATGTGCCCCGCCCATATTGCTGATGGCATATGACACTCTGTCAGTGATGCTTCATTGTTCAGACAAGCCAAAACCAATCTCTGTAAGAAGGTGGAATCAGCAAATTAATTGCTGTAATGAATCCTTTAATGCTCTCTTTTGTGTGGCTTACAGTCTTTTATTATGTGTTTTAAACTGGATGATCCCTTGACTGGAAGTATGTATGGAGTCTACCATATCGGCATAAACTCTGTTTCTGTACATTTATTTGTGAACATTTGTCCAGTTTGACAAAAATTGCCAGAAGCAATTTAAGAGTGAAGAGGTTGATTGCTAAATATGTAAACAAGTGCAGTTAAAAACCCTCAACAGTCTTCAGGATTGTTATGCATTTGGGGGAAGTTTCCAAACTCTTATTATTCTTATTGTTCTGCATAAGGATACAGAATGTATGTAACATACTTGGGCATATTTGTTTTCTGTGTTGTGCTTCTGGCTAGTTTCAGGAATTACTAGCCCAGCAGTTTTTATCACCCTCTTGGTAAATTGTGTCAATACCGTACTTCTGCTGGTATAGAATGTGGCCACGTAGGCAATTGTGGACGCCCAAAGAAGGATGCATGTAACACTTTTTCTTCACAAACTGCATTGAGTGCCAATTTGCTTCCAGATCCAATTCAAGGGGTTGGTTATGACCTACATGGTAAAGGGTCAGACTACCTATGGAACTGTTTCTGTCCCATTATATCTCCCCATCCCACACTGTCAAGACAGCAAAGGAATGTTGCAGACCCTGTTAATCAAATGATTTCAATTGATGGGGTTCAGGGAGACAGCCTCCTCTGTCATTGTCCTTGCCCTGTGGAACATTCTCCCTCCTCCCGGAGATGAGACAGGTTCCCACCTTCCTGGCCTTGTGAAAGCATGCCTCTGCGGCCTTGCATGGGGAGCCCAGAGGATAACATAACCATGGGGCTGGTTGCCACCTTGAGAGCAATCCGGTCACCTTTCAGTTAATTTTTAATATGTGTTTTAAATATCTTTCCTTCATTTAAATTTTAAACTTTTATGTATTTTTATATTTTAATATTTTATTGTACATCACCCAGAGCTCTTCTGTGAGGGAGATAGGCAGTTTAAAAATTCGATAAATAAATAAAAGAAATATATAGAGAGACAATTAGGATGTGTGGTTAAGGCATTAGGTTAGTAATCAGGAGACCATGAGTTCTAGTCTTGTCTTAGGCACAAAGCCAATGGCTTACCATAAACCAGTCACTCTCTCAGCCCAAAGAATCAGGAAATGGCAAACCGCTTCCAAAATACCTTGCCAAGAAAACGGCAGGAACTAGTTCAGGTAGTTGCCAAGAGTCAACACTGACTTGAAGCTACCCAAAAAAACCCCACTCCACTTTTTTTTTAGATTTTTATATCATCCTTTTTTTCATGGCAGTGTACATACCAATACTCTTTCCATTTTCCCTATAACAAAAACCCTGTGAGGTGAACTGGCCCAAAAGTCAATTGGTTTTCATGCCAAAGGCATGACTAGAACTCACAGTCTCCTGGTTTCTAGGCCAGCACCTTAACCACTACACCAAGTTTATATCAGGCATTGGATCAAACCTCAGTTTATATCCCAAGCCAGTTTGGTTTTATAAGAAAGAACTGTATGAATAGGGAAACAGAGGTAAAAGAAAATGTTATCTATTATCAACATAATTTATTTCACTTCCTTTTATATTTCTAAATAGATCCCTAGGAACTTTTTCCCACAGATGACTTTATGACGAAGAACAGAATACTGAGGCTCAGTGAAAATTAACTTCCTCTTTTATTTAAAATAAGCATTTATAGAAGCAAAGTGAAAATCATTTCAAAATTACAGTACAAGATGGTCAAAGCTTATCTTAATTTCTTTAGGAGATTTCAAATGCCATTTATAGATTTTCATTAAATACTAGTTTGATTAAAGTTCCAGATGAACATGAAGAGAAGCGAGTGCAGGGAAATTTTCAAAGGTTGGACTCAAGTCACAGCAACTGGTGATGAGGAGGACCCTTGAAACTTGACAGCAAAAGCCCAGTTTTTGTACCCTCAAGATCCATGCTGCTGAGATCATTTTCTTTTTCTGATTGGTCGTTTCCCTTCGCTTTGATTGGACTGTTTCAAACTACCTGGAATGATCTGGAACATTCTAGAACATGCCATCATTTCCACCTTGGTTTCAATACATGACCAACAGTGGTTATAATTGCCAACTTGAACACAAATTTGACATTTGATCACTTTATTAGCATATCTTGTCAACCCCCTAACTCAGTGTTTCTCAACCTTGACAATTTTAAGGCATGCGGACTTCAACTCCCAGAATTCCACAGCCAGCAATGCTGGCTGTGGAATTCTGGGAGTTGAAGTCCACATGCCTTAAAATTGTCAAGGTTGAGAAACACTTCCTAATTCATCTGCTCTTCTCTGATGAAGCATCTATTCAGCATCTTTACCCTGTTACTGCAACTTTTACTGTACCTAAAGTAAACTTAATTTCTCTGACAAAGGTATGTGAAGCTTGTGCTATGTACCCACTCTATGCAGATAGTCCTCGAGATACAATGGGACACTTAATAGCCAGCTACGACAGACCCTCCCTCCCAAAAGCTACATGTGACCCTGCTTCAAACCTACAGCAGCTGCAGTGCCCCTGCAGTCATTTGCCCTTACAACCAACCACAGGTTTCCTCCCAACCTGCCAACCTGCCAACCTGCCCTGACAGGACCCCACAGCGCTTAACACATGTCTCCCATGCTTTCTGAAAGCAGCCAGAAAGCTCTGCGCTCCAACAATTCCTTGAAGAAAAGGTGGCGGCTTTCGGAACTTTCTGCCCTCATCAGCTGGCCTCAGGAGACTACAAAACTATCCTAGGCTTTGAGGAACCTGCATGCAAAGGTGCCAGCTTTATGACGAGTTTCCCAAACCTTTCCCTTGCTTAACCGCTTCCCTCCCCCAGAAACCCACATTTCTTCAATAAAGAAAAAAAAAAGCTTGAAGGGACAAATGTGTTGACCTTCCCCCCCCCAATTAGGTGTTGAAACTGAGTTCTCTGCCTCTGCCTTCCAGTCTCAATCCCTTTTAATAATTTAATTTTAATCTAGTATGCAAAATAGTATGCAAAATAGACAGTCAACAAGCCAAAAAGGGAACAAAAAGACCCAAACACCATTCCATCAGCAATCAGCACCCAGATGAGCATAGATTAATTCCAGGATTAACATCAGACTAACAAACAAGTAAACAATACCCCAATCAAGGAACTGCCAAACAAGCCAACAGCAAACAGTCCAATCAAATAACCTCTAATACCACCCCACCAACACTAATAGGGCAAGCCACTAGAACAGAGGCCCCCAACCTTTTGAACACCAGGGACTGGTTCTGTGGAGAGTGGTTTTTCTGCAGACAGGAGGGGGCGTGGGTTTCATGTACTGCCTGCATCCCACGGATGGGGCTTTGCTTGTTTGCGCTGCCCAGTTTCTGGCATGCTGCAGCCCGGTGCCAGTCCACAGACCAGGGGTTAGGGACCCCTCCACTAGAATATAAACTGAGATCAACCCCACTGCTTACTAACACTGATGATGTTACCTAGTTTGGTAATGAAATGTCTGCAAGAAAACAACGAAGCCCAGAGAGCACAAAGAACCCCTCAGAGTTAAAGTTGTTTCTTGCAAAAATCACCTAAAAAGATGGAAAATATACAATTAAAATAAAAATATAATCAGAATCTAAGTACTAAACTCTCTTATATTGGAAGCAAAAAGGAATAGATCACCTAGAAGACGTAGGAACCATGTATCTGGAAATGTTCTTGAAGGGCATCTCATCTAAGGATATCCTGAATCAGTCTAGTTGTGATTACTTGAATCTTTTAATTTGCAGACCCCAAGATGTTAAAGTAATCAATCTCTTGAAGCTGGAGTTTATACATACTAAACCATGGTTTGTTTAATCTCAACTGATTGGATTCATATAGCAATAAAACATGCTTGGTGTAAGTGATGCAACAAACTGAACATTTGTTGCCATAACCTGCAGTGGTCATTTCATAGAGATCTGTACATCTGTTAAAGTTGAGTAAAGTAAAAGTAATGAAGACAGACAATACATCAATGATGGTCTGGTGATGCTACAAAGATGCTGTAGTTCATTACTAGGTTCGAAACCACATTATCAATGTGTGGATTTAATCTTATTAGTGTTTCCTTCTGTAGATAGTCCTCGACTTACAACAGTTCATTTAGTGACTGTTCAAAGTTACAACAGCACTGAAAATGTGATTTATGACCATTTTTCAGTTATGACCTTTGCAGCATTCCCCATGATCATATGATCAAAATTCAGATGCTCGGCAGATTTACGACCGTTCAGATTTACGACCGTTGCTGTGTCCCAAGGTCATGTGATCACCTTTTGTGACCTTCTACAAGCAAAGTCAATAGAGAAGCCAGATTCACTTAATAACCAGGTTATAACTTATCAACTGCAGTGATTCACTTAACTGTGGCAAAAAAGGTCGTAAAATGGGGCAAAACTCACTTAACAAATGTCTCACTTAACAATGGAAATTTTGGGCTCATTGTAGTCATAAGTCGAGGACTACCTGTATTTTATTAGAAATCAAATTAATTACATTTTAATATTTAACCTTTATTTCTATGTGCTATTTATCACTTGAATGCCATGTTTGTTTTTATTTTCTAAATTATTTCTTTTTCTCCTTAAATTTCAGTCAGCATACATGACTGGCAATGAATGCATCATTGATGGTGGATGGAGTATGTGACCAGCTTCTGCAGACATTCTACCTGCAAATTAGTGTTCTCAGTATTCCAGAAGATAAAAAGGACAAGCTATATGCACATCTAACAATCATGTCAAATTAATTACTATAATAAAAATTCATACAATTTGTTAAGTATTTGATGTCAGCTAATCCATCAATTTCTAAAAGACTGTTCATACAATGGATTTATTGCTCATTTGTTAAGCAGTTGTCGTGTCCAACTTCATTTGAGTCAGTTCTTCTATTGTTGGACTGGCAGTTTGGTGTAGAGAGCCAGTTTGATCTAGTGCTTAAGGTAGAGATCCCCAAACATTTGGGCGCCAGGGAACCAGTTCTGTGGAGAGAGGTTTTTCTGCGGACCGGAGAGTGCGTTGTTTTGTGGCTGCCTGCATCCCGCAGATGGGGCTTTCCTTGTTTGTGCGGACTAGTTGCTGGCATACCGCGGCCGGGTACCAGTCCACGGACCGGGGGTTGGGGACCCCTGGCTTAAGGCACCAGGCTAGAAACCAGGAGACTGTCGGTTCTACCTTAGGCATGAAAGATGGCTGGATGACTTTGGGCCAATCATTCTTTGTCAGCCCAACTGACCCATCAGGGTTTTGTTGTGGGCAAAATAGAAAGAGAAAGGACTGTTAGATATATTAGCCCCCTTGATTTTTTTAATCAAGATAATAAAGGCAGAAAAGAAAGAAAGAGAGAGAGAGAAAAAAGAGAAAGAAAGAAAGAAAGAAAGAAAGAAAGAAAGAAAGAAAGAAAGAAAGAAAGAAAGAAAGAAAGAAAAAGAAAGAAAGAAAGAAAGAAAGAAAAGAAAGAAAAGATTTACTACTTCATAATGAAAATAAGGTAGTTTCCCTCAGTACATTTGACTTTTGATGACTTGGTCATTTCTGTACTGTTTTTCAGATGATTTGCCACTGTCATAATTTAGGATGTGTGACAGGGTTTTTTACTTCCAAGTTTAGCCTATAGCCATAGTATTCCTTAGGTGGTATTTTGTTTCTAAGATCAGACAAGATCATTCAGATGCTGCCAGTCACAAGAGCTCTCTGAACTGTGAAAAATATTTATCAACCTTTTCTTTTTGCTTCTTTCAAGTCCAAGATTATTTCAGTTGCAAAACGTCAGTGTTGGAATATTCACCTAGATTTCACTTTTTATTTTTAAATGGCTAGCAACCATAATGCCTTTCTCTCTGCTTACAATAGCCATACAGGTACACAGCAATGTTTTACGATAAATACAAAAAAAATACAAAAATTGAAGGAGGTGAACAGTCAGAATATAGGCGCACATTTGGGGAACATGGTAATATAATTATAGTGTTTAAATCAATTTCAGAGTATTCAATCATACTTATGGAAGGATTAATACAAGTTTTTTTTTTATTTTGGGTAATGGGATAAATTTTCACTTTGCCTTCCCATATCATCCATGCCTGCCTTCTGCTGATTATGCACAATTCTGGGGCATCACTATTTCCTCTTAGAAGTGGATAAATTAATTTAAAATAAAGATTTGTTTCCTTAACATAAGTTTTCAAAGACAAATTATTAGACACATGTTAGTATGCTACTCTCTAATACTCTCTCATGGACTATTCTGACCATAATCATAATTATATAATCATATAATCATAACAGCGAAGAAAAGGAGTCAAGAATTCACTGTGCACTGAACAAATGTTTTGACAATAACAAGGTGAATTTTAAGAAGACAATAGGTACCAGGAATTTCAACAACATAAAGTAGAATAAACAAAGGGAGCAAAATAGATACATTCTCTAGCAGAATTAGGAGAAAAAATGATGGACAGACTTTATGTTACAGACACAAAGGACAGACTGACAAGCATGTATAGAGAAGTGCAGTTTAACAAAGGATGCAACAGTTTACTCTGGGGGGGTGTGCCTGATTCATTTAAGCTAAATGAATAGCTATATAATACAAATTCAGACTTTCAAAAAACAATTAGCTAGAGAACCCTAGGACACACAGGGCATCTGTAGCAAGGGATGCTTTAATCTGGCAAGGATACTTTGAGATCAGATCATGTTTTTGTCCTTCCAGGGCTTTTCCTTGGCAGCAGGATCAGGATTAATGATATAAAATCAGAAGAATATTTTGATTTATTTACAGTTCTCAAGCTTTGCCCACTGCAGCTGTTTCCATCTTTTCATTACTAGTAACAAGGTGGTTTTAATGGACTGTGCTGGCTGTATAGGATGTTATGTTCATGGCCTACATACTTCAACCTTAAGTATGAAAAACATTTTGAAGTTTATACTTAAGCTGCACTGGCTTATACTCTATTTGTGTCCAGTCCAGATGTAGGAAAATTAACAGGCACAAACATCAAGCCCACGTTTTTTGGTAGCAGATCCCCAGCAATAACAAATCAGAAGTAAAAGACACTAAGCATCTTTACAAATGAAATAATACAGATGCAGTAGTCATCTCTATTTCCATCACAGCTTATATTTGCATTGTAGCAGCTTGACACTATGCAAAACGATAATATGACTCTTTGATTTTGGCTTGGATCGTGGCTACCATGATGTATACAGATCCATGTACTGTATGGCTACCGTATGACCACTGCCCACTCAGTGATGGTGGTTTATGCAACAAACCACGCCGTGCGGGCTTGTCTGAGAACGCCATGTGGGTATTCTCGTTGCGCTTTTCCTCATCTGCTTTTCCTCGTCTCGGGTACAATAATTTCTTTTTCGGTTCTCAACCCCCCTCGCCTCGCGGAGCTACACGTTGGCTGGCGCCCACGAAACCACGTGATCTAAAATGACACAATCCGCCGGGAGTCTCCCATTTTTCCTGCTGCGGGCGGATCGGTGGGCTTTGGAAAACCGAAAACGGGTCTCCTTTAACCGGGGTGAGGGAAATCTCCCTCTTGGCCCGGGCTGCCGCGATGGCCCGTACAGCTAATGTTTTCCTCGCCAGCAGAGGCTCTTCCCAGCCGCTCCTCCTCTCTATGCCACACAGAAGGGAGGGGAGCGTTATTAATATCGGCAGCGCGACCTCGGACCGCGGAACCAGGCGAAGGGTTAGGAGGCAGCGGCGCCAAGTAGTTACGCTGCAACCTGCGGCTGCGTTTTTCACCCGCCCGGCTTGGATGGCTTGTCAGTCGGGACGGCTCATCTATTCTTGACAAAGGCGGACAGCCAGGGGATCAGCCTCCGCCTCCGTTGTAATCTCTGGAAGGATCCGTCGCTCTCCGGGAACTGTTGAGACTAGGTACGTTTTAATCTCAGAACTTTTCTTGCTATCCGGACCGGGCAGACACACTGACAGTGGTGCATCACTGAACTGCTTACTGAGGTCCCGCTGTTTCCATCCTTGCTCGTGAATCGATCTAGTACCGAGAATGGAGAGCAAGGTGTTGGGGACGTGACTCGTCCGTGCCCCCTCCTCGCGAGTGGGAAGACATATTTGTCAGTTCCCGCCGTCCAAGACTTCAGATGTACCTTCTTTAAGAGTGTCTAGATTACCGGTAACCCTCGATTTAACGACCACAATTGAGCCCAAAATTTCTGTGTGTAAGCGAGACGATTGTTAAGCGAGTTTTGCCCCATGTTACAACCTTTCTTGCCACAGTTGTTAAGTGAATCACTGCAGTTGTTAATTTAGGAGAACGGTCGCTAAGTGAATCTGGCTTCCCCATTGACTTTACTGGTCAGAAGGTCACAAAATATGATCACATGACCTGGGACCCTGCAACCTTCCTAAGTATGAACCAGTTGCCAAGTGTTTGAATTTTGATCTCGTGACCATGGAAATGCTGTAATGGTTGTACTGGTAAGTTTGAAAAATGATCATGTCGCTTTTTTTCAGTGCCATTGTAACTTCAAACTGTCACTACAAATGGCTGTAAATCGAGGATTACCTGTATCGTAATTTGCTATCTCTTGTATATTTATTGTCTTAACTGCCCCAGTTGTCCCAAAAAATCACCCTCTCTTTGTCTGCTCTGGTGGGCATCATTTATTCATTGAAAGCTTGTCAGTTACAATCAGGTTAATATTTTTAATTATAAACTTTTGCTTCTGTGTCTGTTTCTTGAGGCTAATGAAGTATTCTCACTTTAGAAAAGGAGCTTTGAAGTAGGTTAGGAATAGCACTGATACAAATGCTTGTAGTCTGAGTGACAATGATAATCTTCTAATAAGTACTATCTAGCCCATTCCTCAAGGCCTTCATTAGATGCACATAATGACAAATGAAATGAATGTGGGTGATCTTTACACTGTTCCCTAGAAGTGTCTTGTGTTCAAGAGCATTTAATGTTATGCCAGTGTGGATAGTGACCGTGTCAAGGTTCCTTTCTAAATGTGATTTAATTTGGAAGCAAAGTTTGAATTAAAATGAGGCTCTTAAGCACTAAAGTCCATTTCTTGTATAGATGTCTACAGAGGGAGGAGAGGTGAGAAGGTGGTCAAAAGACAGGCAAATAGCAAAAAAAATTGCAGGGATTGGTCAACACAAATCACATCCACACCTGTGGTCACAGCTTGCACTGTGACATAATACACATTTTGGCATCATTATGGCTAGGAATGAATGCCTTTGCTTGGTTTTTCACATTGTGCTGATCTATGATGTAATTTGTTTGGGTTTGGTTTAGAATGTATTACATGAAGCATCCATTGTAATTTATAAACCATGGTTTGTGGCTTATCCTTAAGTATGTGATTTATTCAATAAAACAGTTGAGGCAGATCATGACCTTTTGTAAAACCAATAACTGAGTTCAACATCGTTTATTCTTAAGTGTAGTACAGATAGATTGAAGTTCTAGCACCCAGCTACAATTACAAGAATGACATTCCCAAAGATAACTGATTGGCTGTTGCCCAGCAGATTAATGCTTAGGTTTACCTTAAAGAGAAGTACAGTTGTGGCTGAATATTTAGGGACCAATATATTTCTATGCAAACTTGTCAATACCTTCAGTAACAGCATAGTTACAGTTAAACATAGTTACACATGTACCCATACAATTACTATAGCTCACAATACTGGCAAGATACTGTATATCTGCTCCTGATTTTCTTATAGCTAGAATAAGTCTGTCCACCAAAGTGACTGATTCAGCTTTTCATTATTATTTTGGCATCAACAGAGTATCCCCAGGTGGAAAAAGTTAGGAAGGCAGCCTCACCTGTAAAATTAAAAGATGTATATACACATATACATGTGTGTGTGTGTGTGTGTGTGTGTGTGTGTGTGTGTACACATCATTAAAATATAATTTGTTATTAGCTAAAAGCAATGTCCAACCATAATGATAAAGGATACTGACTTCTCCCAAGTAATATTTGCAAAATGGAGATAAAAATGCTCAGATAGATTTTTACTAATCTGCTATTGTTGCAATTTTATGTTGACATATTTTCTCTTTTATTAAAAGCATAGTTTAAAGCAACATATTTGAAATCTTAAAAATATCTGTACTGCATTTTGTCCTATCTACCTTTTTTGTTTGATATTTGCTTTTTAGCTACTTTATAACATACTGTATAAATGACTTTTTTCATTATGGAATCTTCTACCATATCTGTAACTCTACAATATATATAATATCAAATTTATCATAAGTGGGGGAGATTTGAAAAAAAATTCTGTGTCCAGAATTTCCCAGCTGGTTAGATTAGCATGCAGATACTCAATTTCTTCATTCTTGGAGTTTCTTTCTTTTTTTTTAATCCCTATGATATAAAATTTTAAACAACTGCACCATGTTGAGGCACAATTAAGCAAAGGATTCAAGTTCTTAAAATGTTTGTGGAAATATGTTCCTGTTCTGTGAGTTGAAGATACTTTGTTCTAAACCTTATGTGATAACAGAAATATCATCAGAAGTAGATTTTTAGCTAGCAGATCTTTCTGTGATTGTTATTTAATACCACAAGCCAACTCTCCAATCCACTACATTGTTACAATTCCATTCTGCTATTGGATATCACCTCTGCATCATCCTCTGCATGTCAGTCAGCTCTGGAGTTTAGGTTTGAACTACAAGTTACTTGTCATGCCTGTTACATTAAAAGCAAAAACTGAACCATCTGTTTTTGTAGAAGTCTTCACTGAAGCTTCCTTGGTGCAGATGAACAAGCTGATGTATATTTGCAAAAGTTTTATCTGCCTTCCATTGCCTGTCTTTTCATATATTTTTTAGAAACTTGTGTACTATATTTTACATTAGCTGTAATTAGCATGTATCAAGCAGGCATGCTCTTCAGGATATTAGCTTCAGCCATTTCTTCCTGACATGCACACCAAATAGGAAATGTTCTCTTGACTTTGCATGCTACACAAATAGCCACTAATGCTCACTCCATTGTGTACTTCTACACCTGTTTTAGCACTTGACCTGGTAAAGCAAATTACATTATCAGTCCAACTAACAAAACCACCTTGTTCTTTGTGATGAGATGAAAAGTTTTTTTTCCCCAATGTACAAATAAAAGGAACAATTCTAGGCTTAGATAGATCACTGTTCCTACAAAACATTAGTAAATGTGGCAATAATTTTAGTAACTAAACTCGCATTTGGAGAAATACTTTTGTACTTTTTTGTAAAAAATCAGAAATAATAAAGAAACTGCTAATGAAGGTAATTCAGTTTCAAGTTGTAAATGTACATAATTGTGTTTTGGGAGTCACACTTTCATATATGGAAAGGATTGAACGTTATTTTAATCAAATCTATTCTGAACATTTTCCAGAGTTCAGTGTTAGTCAGCTTGAACATATGGAGATACTCACTACACAGTCATGGTGCTTGTGACCATGTCACATTTTTGCATCCAGTTCCAGCATCTTCATCAAGAATGTGTTCATGTGACTAGTGATTCAGGATAAGCTGACCCAGAAATAACCCTAACAAAAATATCAAATCAGTTGAAATAATCCTCATCTACTATCCTCAACAGGTTAACCTTTAGAATTGGCCTTAGGAAGAGTTTTGATAGACGTCTACTCAAGGTAAGAGCAAATACTCACATTCTTTGCATCCTCAGCCATGTGATTCCCCAACCAGTGGTTCACTCCTGAAAATAATTTGTATTATCTCTGCACATGGCGGGAAGACTTGTAGAAAACTGGGAAAAGAAATTAACTTACAAATATATTCTGAGGACCAATGTACATGTGTATATATATATGTATATATGAGGGATGGGAGAAAGAGGGTGTTGTGATTCCGTGCCAGCCTGTGTTCCCAACAGCTGAGTCTGAGGAATCTGAGGAGGAGGTGGAGGAGGCTGTTGAGGGGCCATCAGGGTCAGAGGGAGGCTCTGATGAATTACAAGACTCACGGCTTGATGAAGAGCCTGGCCCCTCCAGTCGTGTTTCTGATGAAGCTCAGCTATGTGAGGAGCAGGAGTCAGATTCGGAAGGCTCACACCTGGATGAGCTGATTGATGCTCGCAGACGTCGTCAAGTAGCAAGGAAAAAACAACAACAGTCTATGCGACTACTCGAGAGTAAAAAAAGAAGGCAATGAGAGGCAACACCCTGGGACTGCTGTATAAAAAGGGGAGTTGTGGGCGTTGCTGGTTGCTGAAGGCAACCGTTTGCAAAGTGCTTCTTGGAATCCTGGTCTGTTCATCTTGTTTGCAACGTGTTCCTGTGGACTATTTCCTTCCTTTGGACTTGAGGTTTGCTGTTTGTGTTATTGACAGGATTGTCACCCAAATAAAAGGGATTTTGTTTTGTTTTAAAGTTTCCAGCCTATTGTATCAGCAGGGGTTTGGTCCTTGTGCCTCTAACAAGGACGGCAATAGGCTGGGATAGAACAGAGGGAGAAAAAGTGCTTAGATGAATTTCATATTGGAATCCATTTAAAAGTATTATTTTGGGGGATTATATCAATCAATTTAAAATAGTCTTTTGATTAATGTTGATCACCTAACATATGTAGGCCCTTATTGGATGTTGTAATGATGATCATGTGTCTATGAATGCTACTTCATTGCTGGAGGTGCTATCTTTTTTAAAGTAGATGGTATCTTGTTTTTTCCTTTTTTTTTTTTTTTTTTTTGCTTTTCAGTTAGGTTGATCAAAATGGCAGAAGACCCAGTGACAGTGAGTTGGAAACCAACAACACTATCTGCAAATGCTAGCAATAATGTAATCCCCATGCATGGAGCAACTCAGGTATTTGTTGTTGCTGTTGTTATAACTATGTGATTTTGTTATTTTCATATATCCATAACAATCTTCCCCAGTCTAGTGAATCTTCTATAAATATTGGACTTGAAATCCAGTGGAACATTCTAAAATATGGAACTATTATGGGAGTTTCTGAACTACAACTCCCACAATCCCTCATTATTAAACCACTAAATTCCCCATCCAGTTTACTCTACAGTGACCATTCCAATGTACTGTTGTTATTAATTTTGCGCAGAAAAGGGGGGGAGGGTTGAGCTTGACCTCTATGACTTCATGAACACTTCTGTGTAGTTTCTTTGGAAGTGTAAAAAAATATGCAGTGCTTTTAAAGAAGGCAAATTTTATGCTTTGGATCATTAGAAAAGATTGACCATAAACTGGTTCTGATAATAATGGCCTCATATAAATCTATGGCATTGTTACATCTAGAATATTATGTACAGTACAATATTCTAGTAATCATATCTCAAGAGAAATATTACGTTGCTGGGAAGGTGGAGAAAGGATAATCTAGAAGATGAGGAATTTGAATGCCTTCCCTATGAAGATAGGATGCAGTGGTTGGGACTGTTTAGCTTGGAGAAATGACACAAGAAGATATGATTGAGGTGCATAAAAATGGTTGATAGGGAGAAGTTCTCCGTATCCCATAATACTAGACTAGAGGCTATTCTATAAAAGTGCCTAGCAGAAAATGCAAAACTGATGCTTTTTCATATGATGTATACTCAACCTATAGAATGTGCTGCTTCAGGACATGTTATTGGCTAATAGTTTACAAGTCTTCAAAAACAGTTTTAATTATTGACTGCTACCTGTTTACATATTAGATTCATGGAATTGACAGTGGGGAAAAAGATTGATAGTCTTATTTCTGGGCTTGCTAGATGCTTCTTGTGGGCCCTTCTTGAGATGGAATGTTGGCTAGATGATCTCATGATCGAACACTGCCATTTTCCTGGATGCTTTTTCAACTTTCCTATGGAACCCTGGAATTCCCCTCAGTCTCACTACCAAGCCAGACTATATACAGTAGTGATTGGGTTACTTTTGAGTAATGAGTTACTCAGAGGTAATATATGCATTATTGTAACAGTTTAATACGCATAGCCCTCAACTTACAACCACAATAGGTACTGGAATTTCAGTTGCTGTGGTCATTAAATGATATTATGACCATCTTTATCACAGTCATTAAGCAAATCACACGTTTAAGTAAATTATATCAAGACAAGTAAATTATATCAAGACAAATTCTTAAATTACAATTATAAACCACAAAACTGCATTCTATCTATCACTTTCCAAAGAAATTGGATTACAACTTATCTGTTGTATGAACATAGACTAGAAGTGAGCATAAAAGTCAGATAAACAATTTGAGTAGAACTAAAGTCATAAAAGACCTACAGACTTCATAAACCAGCATATTTTATCAACAACTGTTTTTGTCTGGACATAATTCAATTCAGTTCAATTCAATTTGGTGCCATTATTAGAATTCAACTATGGAACAAATTTCTCCAGACAAAATTTTACTTAGAATTAAATCTGACTGAGTTCATTACTTTTGAAAATTGAAAAAAAATAGGACCTAGAATGTGACAAATGGTTGTTACTAATATTATTTCTTGATTGTACTCAGGATGTTTTGGATTCTGGAGGCACCAGTAGCATTGTACAAACAAAAGAAACAGTTCCATTGAACAGATGCGAGGAACGTGCTCAGGGGCCTCTGGCTGAATTAAAAAGTTCAGGAAGACGAATATGTGCTTGTCCTCCTCAAGGCATCATTGCCAGAATAGCAACAAATGGTGAGGAAAAAAAGAATTTTAAAAAGCCCCTTTTTTGTGGAGCATATTTAATTGATGTCTTGTATTTTAATCTGTTCTAGAATAGGTCAACATTGGAAAATTGCTCTGAAGAAAATATGATTTGCCCTTTGGACATCTTACAATTCATGCTGGGTGGTGCATGCAGAAAAGTGTAGGAGTAATAGAATATATCATTCCAGTCTCTTTCTTCCACACCCACTTCTTTTCAGTCTTATCTTCCTATTAGCTGTCTGACTTGCTCATGGGTTAATGAGTGACTAGAATTGTAAATTCTATGCAATAGAAAAGTATTGATTGTTCACAATGCTGGTTCCCTTGGTGGTGAAAATGGTCCGTAACAAGTCAGACTCTCTTCAGTCTCATTCTGTTCCACAGAGTAGAAGGGGTTATTTAGGCTACTGAGTCCAAATAGTCTTGGAATTCCATTTCTGCAGCTCCCTGCCTCTATCCAACTATTCTGCAAAGATTGCTAATCTGACAGATGAAAATCAACAGAATATATTCTTGTAATTTGAGGATGGAGCATTACAACATATTGGTTCTATGAACTCTAAAATAAGCACAATACTATGAAAGCAAGAGGGTGAAAGGTGGGACTAATTGTCAACCTTTCCCAAAGCAAAGCTTGCAAAATAACACCTCTTATTTCACATTATTATTCCACACCCTTTGTATCATTGTTAGATGAACTTCAGCCTTTAGACCCTCCGAATATATTCAATAAGTATACCAGTCACACCACTTTGCCCCAATTTTCTATGTTAATAATTTGATTCATTTCCTTGGGTAGACATGCAGTGTATTCTAGGCCCAAGGCAAGGATATCGGAGTAGTGTTTAAGGTGACATCTGCACACATAAGAATGAAGTCCTGCCCTCTCTTTTTGTCTGTCACATGGTCACATCTTGATCTTTTTACTCCCTTCCCATGGATGCCTCTGGCCAAGGGCCATATTTGATCTTTTAATTATAATGTTATAATGTTATAATTATAATGTTATAATGTTATAATGAAGATAACATTCCAAGAAATAGGGGATGATTAACACAATTACCCCTCAGTCATACATGTAATCACTTCTGCCACTTTGAGCATTACAATTTGATAAAATTTACATTAGTCTATGATCCAGTTTCCATCATTTGGTTGTGTGTCTGACTGATAAGAAATTTACTGGATTGTGCAGATTTTATAGCCACAAAAGAGAACATTTAGCAAAATTGGATATACTGGCCTTAGAAGCACAGATTTGCTTCTTCAATTTTATAAATCATAATTCAGATGCAATTTAGTAATAAATAATTAAAGAATAAATAATAATTTCTTTAAACATTAATATAAATGTGTGAAGAAATTCTGTGAAATATTTTCAATATGCTTACATGTTTTCCATTTTTTTCTTCTTCCAGTGGTAGCAATAGCATTGATCTGGGCTGTATTCTGGTCAATTACAACCCATGAAAGTCTTCCTGGTGGGAGCCTCTTTGGATTTTTATTCCTCTATCTTTTTGCTGTAATTGGTGGTAAAATTATGGGCTTAATTAAATTTCCTGGCCTGCCTCCACTCCCTCCTCTTTTGGGTAAGTATGTTTTTAGATAGGCTGTATCTTTCCACATTTAGATTGGTTATTGAAACAAATAATCCATTGTCAAACTGCCATATGATACAAATTTAGATAATTAAGCTATAATTAATTGGAAAGTATAATATTACTTAGTGAAGATATTTTAATTACGGGGAAAATCACTTAAAAGTTGACTAATTTTAACTATTTTTTATTTATTCATTAAATTTATATGCTCCCCATCTCATTATCCAAAGGAATGGGTAGTGACTCTGGGTGGTTTGGGATTGCTGTTTGATTTTTTTGTTTTGAGATGAAATAACTCCTATAATAGGGAATCTTAAAACAAATAGTAATAAATGCTAAGTCTTAAGGGTACAAATTAAAAAGTAACATTTACAAAAATGTTTCCATTTCTCAAATAGATATTCATCTTGATCTTTAAATAATTTGAAAAATGAGTTGATTATCCCCTTTTAAAAATAAATTATCAACTATTTTTTTTCAGTTTACCGCTTTAACCTGTGCCTGTTTCACTAACACGTTTTTGTAAGGGATCCTTCATGGGCATGCAACCTGCAGATTATTTAAATTAATTAATATTTTTTTAAAGATTTTAATTATTCCTTTGTTCTAAACTCACTATTTTTTGGGTCCAGGGATGGTTCAATTTACAATGCAGCAAGTACTTCATTTTTCAAGTTTTTGAGTCCCACTTAGTGTTTTAACCCTAACCCAGTTACTATGGGTTCACACAAAATATTGATCCATAAACTAAACAAAGATGTTGAGTTTGCCTATGAAACTAAATTAGATATACACAAAAAAACAAATCAAAACAAAACGCCCAAGGTCAGTTTGGTGGGTGGTGTTGTGGTATTCTAGTTGAGCCTGTTGTGTAAATGTGTAAAAATCATTATCATTCAGCTCATCCTGTGATAGCAGCATTAAAAGGTGTAGATTATTATTCTATGTATGATTGTTTTATAGTTTTTGATGATTAGGCTCTAGTAAAAAGAAACGTATGTTCACACACCATGCTGCCAAGCCATAGTTTCCTGAATAATAATACCATATTTTGGCTTATCATGATTAGACTTAGCACAATTACTTCCTCTCAGAATGTGGCTGAAGTCCCACATCATGCTAAATCATAGCTTACCTAACCATGGTGTATTGCATAAACCTCCATTTAATAAACCCTCATGGCTAGTTCAACATAATATGCAGTACAAACCAATTATTATGTAGCACACTGCCTAGATCAAGCAAACATGATTTAACATGCTCAGTATCTTTGCATCTAACAAGCTCTATGGGATTGTTAAATTTATAAAACAAAACTTGGTGGAATACAAATTTGTACATATTTATTCAGGAAGAAAATATTATCTGTGGTGTTCAGAGATCAGGAAATGGGACTCTATAAGGTGCAAGAGTATGACCCTTTGATTGCATATCACAGAGCAGTTGTTGTCTTCTTAAATGTTTGGTTCAAGTGGTGTTTTGTGAATACAAAAGGAAAACATCTTTGAAGGCACTGGATTTCATAGCAAACTTTTCAGACTTTGTAGCTGCTAATTGTGCCAATAATATGCACCTTTTGCCTCCTTTTTAGGAATGTTGCTTGTTGGATTTCTTCTAAGAAACATCCCACTGATCACTGACATAGTCCTGATCAATGTGAAATGGGGAGCCACCCTGAGAAGTATTGCTCTCTCAATCATCTTGGCCCGGGCTGGCCTTGGCCTTGATCCAAAGGTGGAGTATCAAACGGTCTTTGCTTAACAGATGCGTAGCTAGGTGATAAAGCTGTGACTAAACTCTGATTCATGTACTGAACTGGGTCACAATTTGGTTAACCCTGGCTTACTGAGAAACCAAAGTGGCTGGAGCTGCATTACAGATTAAGGCATAGAGTGTTCCTAAATTGTACTTTTCAAAATTTCAGTAATCCTCTCTTACCATAATCATCAACTGGCTGGGTTCCCAATGAAAATAATGGTGCCAGCTCTAAAATTGGCTTAACATTGTTTCAAAAAACAAAACACACCCTCTCTCCTTAGAAAGCCTCACCCAATACCAAAAGTCCTAGGTTCTCTTGCATATATTTAATAAGGCTCCACCTTCTTTGCCTTGCTTCTCGCCCAATGCAACTCCCAATCTCCCAAAAATTCACATACATTTTGGCTACCAAATCCACACATTCAGATAGCCATAAATCATAATTTACAACTCTATCAATTGGGTTTATATGGCACACATTGTGATTTAACTAATGATATATTTGTATAATGTGTGACCCCAGTCCTCATCTCAGATTAATTTGGAACCACTTTTCCTCTGATGCAATGACCAAATATTCCTTCTAACCAAACTTTCTTTGTAACATTTGGCTTTAAAAAAAAAAAAAACATGGAAGGAATATTTGTAGAGATGTACATTTAATTGCAAGGAGAACCTAAATGCCTCAACCTTCCCCATCTAGTGTTTTCCTGAGATGTCAGGTATAATTTTCAGGATCCCAGCCAGCGTATGTATTCCCAGGACATGTGTAAGAACAGTTTCAACCCTGACCCTGTTTATCTCTGTGGTAAGAGCTATAATGCCCCCAGTAGAGCAGGGATATTATCCTTAAGTGCAAGAAGTGTAACTGTTTCTCTTATAAAAGATACTTGGGGATTTTGATCTAGAATGTGAGGTCTTGGAAAAACTTTGCAAAGAAAACAAAATTAGGTTTCCTTTAAATTGATCTTGACACCTGATGACTTTGTGGACACATCCATGTGGTTTTCTTGTCAACAGATTGTTATTATCCTATTCTGGATAGAGTAGCCTATGATTCTGATATTTGTTTGGTTTTTTGAACTTCATTTCGTTTTGTTCTGGGATTTGTCCAACATTACTTGCTTTCTGAGATCAGCCAGGGATATCAATGTGGGAATTAGTTTGGTCATCTGCACTGATCCTCAGATTATGATCAGTTTTGCCTTTAACTGAAGTTAGACTGTTTCTGAGTCCTGTTCACATAGAAAAGTTTAAATTTATTCAGAGGTAACATAAACTATGATTTACAGTAATGAGACATAACTAGCTTTGAGGATTAGATATTCCTACCTTTTTGTTTTTTCCTGGATGATTGAAAAATCAGAAACTTCTACTTTTCACTGAGATTAGCTGAATTGTCTGAACCCTGAACTATAGCAACTTCCATTATATTTAGCTCATAATACTATATATAACTCCACTAAATTTAACTCATAGCTCAGTTTCATAAATGTTTAATTAAAATTGACTTCCTTCAGTCAGTGATAAGACTAATCTATTTTAGAACTTTAGGAATGTAGTGGTTCTAAAACTCAAGCATATTCTTCTAAAATCCATCTGTTAATCAAGCAAACTGATAGGAGCATACCTAAACCTTACTAAAATACAGTATTGCCATGACACTAAGGCTGTGTTTGTGCAATATATTGGGTCAGTTGATTGATAAAACTCATGTAGTATATTATCTGAATCTGGACCATGGGTCCAGTTGTAGAGGACTTAACAATAACCTGTAACCAAGTTTACAATTAATGCATCTTAATCTAGGTTCCTCATGTCATCCAGGCCAATTAATCTTTCCTAAACGTTTCTGGCTTCTGGCCAAAAAGATTGGAACTAAAATAGATGTAAAATGACCTTTTTCCTGTTTTTTTTAAAATTTATTATATAAAATTAAGACCATATGCCAGATTAGACTTAATGCATTAAGCAAGTACATTAAACCTGTGGCATGCTAAATGTTGCCATATTATAGTTCTTAGCAGTCTCAGCCAACATCTCCAACGGTGAAGGAAGCTGGAAACTGTAGTTCAGTTATGTCTGGAGTGCTACAGTTTACCTGTTCCTGCTTTTTGCACAAGCAAAACCATTGTAAACTTAGCACGTAAGAAAAAATCCTCAGTTCTACCACCTTTTCTAAAGCAGCATGTTCACTAGGTAGAGCTTTCATATACAGGTAGTAAAAAGCTAGTTGGGATCTCTGTGTTTATTTGCTGCCATATGGTAGATACCCAGATTTTTTTATGGCATCCCCAGCATTGTGCAGAGCCAATTTGGTACAATGGTTAAGGCATCAGGATAGAAACTGTTTTAGTTTTGCCTCAGGCACAAAACAAACTGGGTGACCTTGGGAGAGTCACTTCATTTTATCCCCAAGAAGGAGGCAATGACAAACCACTTCTGAAATCTTGCCAAGAAAACTTCAGGAACTTAACCACAGAATCTATAGGAGTCAATAGTGACTCCAAAGCATAAAATAATGATTAAATAAAATAAAATAAAATAAAACATAAAATAAAATGTAATATTTTCATCACAATGCCTTAACACAGCTTGGCCAAGAGGGAACATAGATTGCTGATCCCAACCAACCAACAAGAATACACAGCAAAAAATAAATTATTAAAACATAGTGGTTAGGAGGCTATTCAGATAAGCAGAACAATCAAAAACTGTGTCATAAAACCTCCTGAGGCAGGTCCTGGGTCATTGCCAAATAGAGCAGATCTCACAGGGTTTTACTCCATGGTCTTCAAAACATTTAAAAAGCAATTCCATTGACTTGCAAATGCATTTATCTTGCAGGCTCTGAAAAAACTAAAGGCTGTCTGCTTTAGATTAAGCTTGGGACCCTGCCTAATAGAAGCGTGTACTGCGGCAGTCATATCTCATTTTCTTATGCACCTACCATGGCAGTGGGGATTTATGCTTGGGTAAGCCCCTCTTCCAACTCAAAAATAGCATTTTTTTTTCTTTTCTGGGCCAGAACTGTTTTTCCTCTTCCATGAAGTCATGGGTACAGTGTGGGTGTCACATCTGATTTAGTTTGATTATGCTGTAAAACATATGTTCTTAACATATCACAGAGAATTAGGGTAGGATTTGAAAACCTGATCCATAATTTGGAATTTACAAAGTTACATATTCAGTGAGAAAACCTAGATTAAATCATCATTAATTCAAAGGTAAATTTTCTTTAATTTTTTTTATTTCTTTAATCCTGTTCAGAAGTCTTTTAAAAATATCTTACTAAGACCTATCTTTAACAACAATTTCTTAATAAACCATGACTGGATAGTTCATCTAACATGCTGAACCACAAACTAGTGTAATGTAACAGTGAAGCGCTTAGATTAGAAACAGAGAGCGTCAGCTTCTAGTTCATCCTCTACCCCAAAAACACTCTGGGTGATCTTGGGATAGTCATTTGCCTTTCAACTCAATTTATCACACAGAGTTATTTTTCTGGGGGGAAAATAGAAGAAAGGAATGTTATGTATAGCACCTTAAGCTCCCGAATCAAAGGTAGATTACAAATAATCAACAACTACTTTGGTTTACAAACTCCAATAGTTGGGCTCATACATTAAGCCACAATAAACAATTATGAACTACAATTATGATCTATACTATGTCAATCCAGCGTGCTTCAAGGAATCAACCTATATTCTTAACATAAAGTGATTCTTAGAACACCTTCCATCTTGACTACTGCAATGCTCTCTACATGGGGCTGACCTTGAAAAGTATCTGGCAGCTGCATTTAGTTCAAAATGCAGCAACCCACATGGTTTTGTGAGGCCTAGACTTGCAGATGTGTCACTTCTCCTGCGGGAGCTGCATTGGCTGCCGATTTGGTTTCAGATCCAAGTCTATGTTGTCACCTTCAAAGCCCTACAGGGCTTGGGAACAGTTTATTTTGCCAATCAGATCTACCCAACCCATCAGAGCAGGGAGGAATACTTCCTAAGGATGTCCATCTGATTGGAGCAAGAAGGGCTTTCTCTGTGGTGGCTCCCTCTCTATAGCACATCATCCTTGCAGAGATAATATTGTTCCCCACTTTGGCAGTCTTTCACAAGGCCCTAAACATATGGTTCTACCAACAGGCCTAGGGACCCAGAATTGCATGGAGCCCATTAAATGGTTCATTTGATTGTTGTTGCCAGGAGGGTAGGGGTTATTGCTGTTTGTATTGTTTATGTATTGGGATTTTATCCTTGTAAGCCACCTGGAGTCATTGAGGGTGAGTTGGGCAGCCATATACATTTTCATAAATAAAATTAGTACTTTTGTACTGTATTTTCCAACTCACAACAGTTCTTCAGTTTTCCCTTTCTTTTGTAAATTGCAGGTCCTACTCTGACTGTGGAAAGTGGAATAACTACAAATTGATGTAACTAAAAGTTAATTTGTGTGTGTGTTCAGATTTGTCTTAGGTGCTGTGTCTCCTGCAGTTGTAGTCCCTTCAATGTTGGTTTTACAAGCAGGAGGATATGGTGTTGATAAAGGTGTCCCAACTTTGCTAATGGCTGCAGGAAGTTTTGATGATATTCTGGCTATCACAGGTTTCAACACCTGCTTAGGGATAGCATTCTCTTCAGGTACCTGTCTATTCTATTGATAAGCCACATCCAAGCCACTATCCTCTCTGTCATAATGCTATGTTTCTTCTATACAAGTAATATGCTTTGTATAAAAACCTTTCATACTGATTTTATGCCTAAATCTTTATTTGTGACACAATAAAATTCATAAAATTGGAAAATTGTCCCTTTGGTTAGGATAAACCTGAGACCTTAGTGCACATATTTCTTTATTGTCTCTTGTATATATACTTATGTGACATATACTTTACACCATGTAGTATAGATCAAGTTTCAGTGAAGAAGTGGTTTGTATTACAAATTGAGTTACCAAGTTCTTATTGGCAGTGATTGTGAACCTATTATATGCATGTCACAGGTGACATGAGGCCTCCGGACTGTCTAGAACAGAATTCCCCAACCTTTCCAACTTTGTGGACTGGTGCAGGGTGGGAGGGGATGGTTCCACGTGAACAGGCAAGCGCACACATGCATGCAGCTCCATTCGCACAAGATGGGAATGTGCATGTGCTAACCCGGCTGCTTCAGGCAGCCTGGTTTTGAACAGCTCACAGCCCGGTAGTGGGCAGTGGGCCAGGTGCTAGAGACCATTGATCTAGAAGTTGCTCTGAGCTACAATCCAGCAATATTAGCCAGCATAGCCAGTCATAATGGACATATAAGAACCAAGTGTAAGGTTTGGCTTTAAGTATGTGCAAAATGTCCCATAAATGAGTTAGAAATATTTGGGAAAATTCTGAGATACTTTGTCTTTTCTCCCCATGATGGTTTCTCAGGAATATTCTTGTTTCCAAAATGCTTTGTTCAACTCTAATATTAACCTATTACTTAAATACAGCTTGGTGTACTTGAGAGTATCCTTCCACTCATACAGATATTTCTAATTACGGTACTCTTATCCTTAAGAGAGGCCCTATTGATTGTATCACATATTCTAGATCACGGGTCTTCAAACTTTTATGACTTGTGGACTTCAATTCCCATGCTGGCTGAGGAATTCTAGGAGTTGAAGTCCACAAGTCATAAAAGGGCCAAGTTTGAAGACCCCTGTTCTAGATATAGTATGTATTTTCTGGAACACTTTTTCCTTCAAATTAAAGCTTGTTAAAGCACCTGTAAAACACATCATAATTAGTCCTTGAGAATCATAAAAGCATGCAATATTCATTTACAATATTGTATTGTAAACGTCCAGACCACTAATTAGAAACCTAGCCACTATAATTCAATGGGACAAAATCAAGATATGATCTGGTACTTCATACAGTTCAGCAACTCCTGGAAGACCACCCGTTTCTCTCCCTCCCTGGGATACAAAATTCAGC